TATATATATATATATATATATATATATATATATACATACATACATACTTTTTTGTACCAAATGACCCACGTACCGGTCCGCGGCCCGGTGGTTGGGGACCACTGGCTTAGAGAACATGCAATTGAACCAGAAAAAACAATCCACCCCTTGGTGGTGGGGAGTCGTTGAGGTTGTTGTTGGCCTGCAGAACCCAATACTGGCCTATGCCTCTGAAAACGGAGTTGTTAGGGTAATTGTTGGCATGGCTAAACTGGTGAGACTGAGAATCTTCAGAATATACAAGATAATGAACACTTTTATCCAGATTTCATTCAAAACAATTATCATACCATTACAGGGAGAAATGCCCTTTTAATAATGTATAACCCCCCAACTGAATTAATCCTTTTTATAGAAAAAACTAAATAGTTGTCCCTACTCTTAATGTAATATTTATGAGCAGTAATGACAAAAAAAATTGCTGTTTGAGGTAATTTTTCCCCCCACGTTTTAAATGAGTTCAGGTCCTTTTCATGTGCAAGAATAAAACATGTAAAAACCTGCTAGATCTATATAGTGATATTTTTGGAGAGATTGTTTGTATAAATCACACGATGGTATGCTCTGTCAAGTATTTGTATCTGTTTATTTTAAGAATATAACTCTGTTTTTCTTTTGATTCAACATAGCTGGACCCTTATATGGATGAGAACTTTGTCAAGCAAGCTTTTAGTGCTATGGGAGAATCGCCGCTGGGAGTAAAGATCATCACTCACAGGATAACAGGGTAGGAAAAAACTGGACACTACTAACCATTCATCAGTCTGTGTTTCAAGGCTTTTAGATTTGCAAACACAATATTAAGAAACACCCAAACTTTTCAGTCACAAAAATTTTATTAATTGATATTTTCTTTGTATTTGTACTTCGTCTTGTTAAACAAATGGTAATAGAAAACTATTTCAAGAAAGGCTTTCAATGTGGATTCTTCATTTTTTCTTATCTGTGGTGCGCCTATGTGGGCTGAATATTTAGAGATTATAAAAAAAAATTGTGACATCCAAGCCCACTTTTTATATGCTCTTTACACTCTGTGCCAAATAAAATCTGCAGTAATGTTGATTTTAGGTTTTCTCTGCAACATCGTCACACTTTGTTCTAATGCGGTTCATCATTAGCCATCAGAGGTTACTGACCTGGAAACGAAAAAACTATGAAGTGTATAAAAGAATGCTTACCATGAATTTTACTGTGCTCTGGAATAGCTTTGACATTTTAAGGCAGCTAATGTCAACCTTATTGCCACCTTCTGGCACAAGGTAATAGAACATCTTTGATTCTTTGATTGGAATCCCACAGTACACCTGCAGACAACAGTTTAAAATGTTTTTGAATCTTAAGCCAAATGGTCATCTGGTGGCTGACGTATGACAAACCTATCAAAGCAAGACTCTCACTTGCTCCATTTTATATTTACAGTCTGTAGGTTTTCTTTTTCTTCTTTTTTTTTATTGAGTTAACCTATTCTTAACTTCATAATTTCTGATATTGAAACTTCTCTTTTCACCCTCCTGTGGAAATGAATATCACGTCTTTAAACCACTTTGCTCCACTTTGAGCTAACATCCCTTATTTCTTTTCCCTCACAGGGGCTCAGCAGGATACTGTTTTGTAGAGCTGGCAGATGAAGGAAGTGTCGACCGCTGTGTGCAAAAACTCAACGGGAAACTGGTTCCAGGATCAAACCCCGTAAGCCTTTTCGTTTTGTTGCAAAATTATCCAAAGTTTTTGAAGTAGTCATTTTTTCGGAAATAAGCATTTCTCAATGAATATGTAAATGTTGACAGTTTGTCGATGCTTTTTCTTTTCTCAGTGTTAGAATCAGATCTTTTCAGTGCTGAAATGTTCATTATTCCATGGATAGCGGAGCTCTGCCAGCCTTTGCTATTCTTTGTCTTATGAATACAGACATGTATTCTGTTTAAAAAAACATTCAGCCTACACATTTCTCTGTAAACAGAGTGGATTATATTCATTTTAATGTGGCTGATCACATTTACCTGGTGTTAGTCACTGGGATTTATTTATTTTTTAATCTATAATTGAAAATAATTACTGATTACTTGTAATTGTTATGTGGCTGATATGAAACATGCTTGAGATAAAGGCCTGTTTATATAAAGCAGAAAATGTTCCCAACCTGGAGATGTCAGTGTCATGTGGTGTGTGACATTGTGAACGGCTTGGCACTGCTGGGTTTGAAATGCTGTTGGCCCAGTGGGCTGGCCAGCTATGGGCTCCCCTGTTCACTGGCCTGTTCCTGCTGCTGAAAGTGGCTACAAGCCTGCTTGTACATGAATGTACTTTGTCTGAAGCTGGTCAATAGAGTCTCTGGTAGGAACTAACTGAGGAAGGGGCTAAAGGCTGGTCTGGGTGGTGGAGGTATGTAAACCTAAATAAGAATAATAACTCCACTTTCTGTTTCCAGCAATATCAGTGCTATACTACACGTCTTTGGTCTTTGAAGTTGACTTAATACCCACTTTTTTTTTTCCCCCATTTGCAGCCCCGGAAGTTTAAGCTAAATTATGCAACGTACGGGAAACGCCCAGAGGCAGGGTAAGATCCGATTTACATCCATCCTAGTCCGTCAATAAAAGTAGAAGAAAATACTTTACATTTCTTTCTGAGATATTTTTAAAACTCTGTGTAATACTACTCCTGCAGTGTTTCTAAGTTTAACGCTGTGGGTGCAGCAGGTTCTCCCAGGGTTCTATGATGAGCCTCTTTCCCAAAATAGCTCCAGCGTCCAAACTGACCCAAACATTCCACATCCTCCATAACCGCTCTATTCCTCCCCAGTCAGATACGTCCGGCGGAGAACTTTAGCAGTCATGTTAATCAATGAAAACATTTACACATCCACAGTTACTCCCCCTAACGTCACCACCTACGTACATCTTCTCCCTCCTTCTCCGTCAAAATACGGAGCAAAGCTACGTTTTGCTCCTGTCAGTTTGAATCTAGCGAGGTCAAGACTCGGTACTTCAACATATCAGGAAGCAGATTTGTCATCTCGGTCAAATATTTATTTCATGCTGACAGGCTTAACATGTTCGTCAAATCCAGTCGCAGCACTTCAAGTTCACACCAACAAAAGCAACTTTGTTATTGCAGGGTAGGATGAAGAGATGATGATTTAGGAAGCAGAAAACAAAGCAGTTTTGCAGGATACTAAGCATCCTTATTACAAAGACACACAATGAAAAGAAAATATTTGGGCAGAAACTGCAGGTGTGCTGGATGCTGATGGTGAGTTTTAATTATCTCTAGGGCTGCAACTAACGATTATTTTAAAAATCGATGAATCGGCCAATTATTTTTTCGATTAATCGACTAATCGGACAAAAAATATTTTTTTATATTAACCTCTTTATTCCAAAATAAACATTTTAGACAGAACAAACAAGCACACAAGTACAGGTTGCTCATTAACTGTCCTGGTGCAATATGAAAAATAAATGTTTGTGTTAAAACCACGCAAACTTACATGAGAAATGTACAGGTGCTGGTCATAA